GTATATATTACTGTATATATATATAAAGCAATCTACTAATAAACAGAATATGATAAAAATAAAAAACCTACATGAAATATCGCTATCATTATTATTTCTAAGAAGCTTAACGTAAGAAATGTTACACATGGATTATAATTTGGTTATGCCAGAAGGGACTATGGAAATTTTAGTGTCATCTATTGGTACTTACTTTTAAATAGGGTTATCATGTCCTGCTGATGAGTAGCAAGACTTCCTTAGGATTCAAGTTCACTACAGTAAAGAGTTTTAAGAATGCATCCCACACTGTTCTTCAAAGTAATTTTGGTCTTTTTATGTTATTATGATTACACTGATGAATCATAGAAATCTTGTTTGATTTCAAGTCTCTGGAAAAAACTGAGCATGCAAGGGGGGATGTGGCTGAAGCTCAGAGAAATTGGTTTCATTTAACAGCTGAAGACTGGACGGCCTCCCATTCCCGTCTCCCTCTGGTGGCTTACCCCTGAGCGATAGAAGCACCTTGTATGTGAACTGAGAAGGAACTACTGGCCTCTATGTGATTTTCCAGTGATCTGTGTGCTCTATAGCTTCCTTCATAACCAACAAATCAATTCCCACTCTATGTATTACATACCCCAGTGGCAGATGTCATTTATTACCCTTTTGATGGTCAGACTTTTTGTACGTAATCAAGAGAGATGACAGAGGAAGGGAAGGATGTTTAAAATGTGAATGAGGCTATTCTACAAGGACACTGCATTTTATAATGCATCTTGCATGTTTACAAGGATAGAAAAGAAGGTCTTGCAAGGCAATTTTGAAACATGGAAGCAGAAATCTTTTGAATGAAATGCATTTTGAAAATGATCTACGGAGAGACAGCTGTGGATGTTATTCCATGCAATCCTGCATTGAGATTTCAGGTGTAAACCTAAATGATGGAAAGACAGAAATGCCTTATTTTGTGGGGATCTGGGTATGTTTTAAGACTACAGCTGACTAGTTTTTCTTAGTAATAAAATCTAATTCCTTATTTTATTTGACATTGTCTAGCACTACTGGTTCTTTTGCTAATATATAATTTCACAGTATATGAAATTTTAAGCAGCTAATGACTAAGTTTTCCTAATTCATTTTTTTTGACATAGTCTTAAGTATGTAGCCTGGCTGACCTGTAACTTGCTATGTGGACCAGGCTGGCCTTGAACTCACAGAGATCCAACTGCCTCTGCCTCCTCACTGTGTGCCACCATGTCTGGTAATTTTTTCCTAATTTTTTGAATTTACATCCTATGATCAAAATTGTTAAACAACTAAAGACAAATAGTAAATTGGATTAATGAGAAACAAGATGATTGAACATTTTGAACAGTGTGTGAATGATACTTCTGTAACTTGAGTGTTATTATTTTACTAAATCAAATGTCTGACAAACAAATAATGTTTTTGAGTGTGGGTGGGAGACATTTTATTCTTGTGACTAATGGCAAAAGTGTGACTTTAATTTCTGTGCATATAAATTTGAACCACTTAGTCATTTATATTAGTGAATATGAAGAACAGCAGAAATAGCCACAGGTCAAAGGAGCTGCAGTCCTTTCCATCTTTGAGATCTTCCAGTTTTCTGAAAATCTGCATCGGTTTCCCCTTTCCCTCTGAGGAGGTGAAACAGCGACAGAGTAATTAACTAAGGTGGAGATCAAGCCCAGGATATTTTGTTCTAGCAGTGTTGAAAGTTCTGGGTTTCATTTCACAGGACAATGATGCAGTAAGGCATTCTGGGAGTCTTCCATAAGACACTCCATCCCAACATTAACTCTACAACCAAGGCCCCTTGGCCAAGTTCTCTGCCCATCATTTGAAAGCATGCTCAGTAGAAAGACTGGATTTGGGCAGGTGGTGGTCCACATCTTTGAGGCGCGGTGCTCTGAAGGCAGGTATACGGATGCATGCTCAGTGCCTCGTTAGTCTGCAGACCTACGGCCCTCGTCTCTACTTGTTGTTGCTCTTTATCAGACTTGCAGGACATGCTTGTCATTATCTTTGGTATTCTTCAGAGTGTGATAAGCTTAAGCAAATTTTTAAAAATATGTCCATGGATTCCATTTCTTTCCCAGCACTGCTCCGACTTGCTGTGGTTAGCGATTAAGTCACTCCTGTATTATGTTGTCATCAGGCCTATTTTTGGTTGGAGAAATTACTGAATCATCCTAGAAAATATTTGTTACATTACATAGAATTAGGCAAACTAACCCAGAAATGTGGAGCCTAGTGTTCATGAAAATCAACTCCTAGTTTAATAAAATGTGACGTGTTAATGATTTTTGCTGCCTTAATTAAATAACTTTTCACATATTTATATTTATATTTCTTTAAGAAATAAAGGTGCTTACATCATCATTGTGGCAAGTTTCATACTTTTCTTGGGTTTGGTGGAAGCTCTATTTCAAAATAGCAGCGGAAAAGTAAAGGGGGGAACACGCAGGGGGCACGGAGGAGACTGAGTGTTGACTGTCTGTGGTCATACCACAGCAACCTCTCTGTTCAGTATTTTCCATCTGCCTGTCTCATTATCAGATTGATTCCAGGATGCGAGAACTGCTTCTATCTTATTTACCCACAAGAGGAAACTAAGGCTGAGGGCAGTTATACCAGGTAGTCGGGTTCTGGAATTCTTAGTCCCTATTGCTGTGATGATTCTAGTCTTTATAACCTCTTCAAGTTCTTGGGGGAGACAGTTTCTAACTGAGCTACTGTTTTCACATGTTATTTTCATGTTGCATCTCACAAGACTAGAGTTTCAAAATTTTTAAAATTTATTTTAATTTTATGTGTATGAGTGTACTGCCTCACAGTTCGAAAGTGCACCCATGTTGTGCAATGCCAGAGGAAGACAGAAGGTGTCCTCCCCTAGAACTGGAGTTCCGGGACAGCTGTTAGCCATCATGCGGCTGCTGGGATTTGAACCCCAGTCTTCTGCAAGAGCAGCCAGAGCTTTTAATCGCTGATCTATCCTCCCAGCCCCAAGATTAGAGTCTTTAAAACTTGGACAATTTCTCTGCTCTTAATGCTAAATATAGAGGAGAAACCATAGCCAAAGTCGAATAATGAAAATCTCTAAATTACCTTAAGGAATAAAATTAACCCTTCAACTTTGAATTCTTATTCATATAAGTTTAGTGTTATATGAGGAATTCTCTTCAAACAAGAAATTACATTCAGATGAGCCTACTTTTATTATATTTTTAATTATTTATTTGCATGTATATGTGATGTTTACAGGATAACTTTAAAAATATTTTATTGAATTTCTGTGGATTTTGACAATGTAATTTGATGGTATTCAGATCTACTGCCCTAACCACACATACCCTTACTGCCCCCCCAATTTAAAATACTGTCTTATATATGTAATAAAGCCTATAGGGTCTAATTTGTGTCCCTAAATGTCCTTCAGTGTGGGTCCATCCACTGGAGCCTGTTTAACCTACTAAGAGTCCCATCCTCAAAAGAGACAGTCTCTTTCCAGGTTCCTCCCAGCAGCCACAGGTTGCCAAAATTTCCTTAGGCTGGGTTGGGGTTTCTTACCCACTTCCCCATGTCTGAGATTTTGTCTGTTTTGAGCTTGCGTGGGACTTGTGCACGCTGTCACCATTGCTGTGAGTCCGTAGGGGTAACTGACCAGCTGTCTAGAAAACTCTTTGTGATTATCTACCACCTCTGGCTCTTACAATCTTTCCTCCCCTTTTCTGCAATGATCTGTGAGCCTTGGGAGGGAGAAGTTTGATATAAGCGTCATACTCATGGATCCCCAATCTGTAGCCTCTTGTTCTCTGTACATTGGTCAGTTGTGGGCTCTGTGTTAATCACCATCTGCTGCACAAGGAAGTTTCTCTAGTAAGAGTTAAGAGATGCATTAATCTATGGGTACAATAAGCCATTCGGAATCAGTTTAATATAATAACTATTTAGTAGAAAACCAGTGTTAGGCTCTCCCCTCTGACAGGACAACCTTTGAAAGTTGTTTCTATTTTATCATGTGGGTCCTGGGAATCAAACTCAGGTTGTCAGTCTTGGCATCTTGTGCCTTTACCCACTAAACTTTTTCACCAATCCTAACAAAGAAACCAAATCTTAACAAAAGGTGATATTCATTTCTGTGTTTCATGACCTAAAGCATAGCATCTTCATTGTTTCACATGTGCAGCACAGTGGTATGTGTGTTTATATTGCTGGGTGTCCGATATCTGGAGTGTTTGACCTTGCAAAGCCTGTACTCTGTTCATAGAGCCACAAAGGATTGTCTTTCTTCTCAGGACCAGGTGGACACCATTCAGTGTTTGGTTCCTATTGTTTCGACTCTAGAGATGGGTCATGTAGCAGAATCCTGCTGTATTTGCCTCTTTGTTACCACATAATTTCACTTCACTGTCCTTAAGGTTCATTCACATTGCAGCATGCCAGACTTTCCTTCTTTATTTCAAGCAGAATGACAGGCAGTTCCATGAATATCACACCCAGTTTCTTCATTTATTCACCAACGGGCATTTGTGATCCTTCCACGTCTTGGATGCTGAAAATGATGCTGCTGTGAGAGGGGAGGACAGATAGCACTTTAGCCCCCTGCTCTCAGTTCCTTTGGATGTTCAAACTGGAATAGGAGGATCCTGTGGTAATTACATTTTTAACTTTACAGTTGCACACCATATTGTTTTCCATGGTGATTTTACTTTTTTCAAACCCCAGTTTGTAGGGCCCAAAGGTTCCAAATTTTCCACATCCATTCCACTGCTTGTAATCTTTTCTTTTTTATGTACTCCGCTTAACAAGTATAGGTTGATACCTCTTGATTTGAATTTGCACTTTTCTAATTAATATTTCTTTATGTTCTTTTGTCATCCATTCCAAGGAAAAGAAACATCAATGCTTTCAGTTCCAAGGGTTTAGAAGTAGTTTCGTTCAGGCTGGGGTGTAGCGTAGGGCCAGAACTTGACCTGTCATTTCTTTGCTTACAGCCGCTCTTCAGTTGCAGACAGCTGTGGATCTGGAGAACTCACCAAGCATCTTCACTTTGCATTGGCGGCTTTGTATTCAGAGCTCGAATTAGCTCAGTGGCAAAGCCAGGGCTTTTGGTACATCATTCTGCTGATGGCTTCTCTCTGGTTCCCGAGGCTCTACCTGCATTACCTGGGCCAGTGGCTTTTCCTCCAGGCCGTTTCAACTCCAGTTACAAAGTGAGTGCTTTCCCCTGAAAGTCAAAGGCATGTATTCTCATCTTGATAGAACAAAGGAAAGTACAAAACAACTTACCCGTCCATTTACTGGAAGACCTAAAATGCAGGTCTGATTTGAAGGGACAAAAATGTCTTTATCTGAGAGCAAGAACTTTTATTACAGTTACAGTCTCATCTTGGTGTTTGTTCTGTATATACAAATACATAACTGGTACATCAATATTTATTTAAATTTTAGCAGATTCAAATACATCCTAATATCTTAACAGGATCCAAACAGGAATTTAGCAATGATGTTTTTATTCTATTTTGATTTTATCGGAGTGACTTAGGCTGCGGGTATTTCAGAAGTAATATGAATCTGATCTATTATCATACTCAGAAAAGCAAAGATCGCTGCTTCTACAAAATGATTGAATTCAAAAAATTACCAAACTCAGGCCGAGACAGCTTTCTGGGCCATTATCTGAAAGAAACAGTGATACTTTAAAGGTTATCGCTCCATAAACATGATTCCCTGGACACTATAGATAGACAGATAGATAGCCATACAAGTAAAATTCATTTTCTCAAATGTAGATGATAGATAAAAATATAGATGTGTGTGCATTTTCCATTAAGGGGATTATGAAAAATTTAAAGACTTAATGAAAAGGGATACATGTATTATGTATGCACACAGTTATTGATACTCATAAAATTAAATAACTAAGATTTGGATGTGCTGTAGATATGTAGCTTTATGTATACCAAATAACCACATTTTCAAGAGAGTATTTTTAACATGAATATTT